ACAATCTGCAGCAAAACCATCAATTATTATGGGCGTTATAACATAGGTGTGCAGCTGGACGAAACATACACGTCGAACCCCCCCAGACGATTTAAATACCTGACGAAACATACACGTCAAACCACGCCAACGGGTTAAGGGAGAAACACAGACTGAGGGTGTCTGAGAACAGGGTGTTGAGATGAATATTTGGACCGAAGAGAAATGAAATAATAGGAGGTGGAGAAAACTGCATAATGTGGAGATTCCAATATGCACTCATAACTTGTACTCCTCTCCAAGTACAATTAGAATGATCAAATCAAGGATGATGAAATGGGCAGGGCATGTAGCACGAATGGGGGAGGAGTGCAGATTGGTGGGAAAGCCAGAAGGAAAGAGACCACTGGGAAAACCAAGATGTAGGTGGGTGGACAATATTAACATCGATCTTCGAGAGATAGGATGGGATGGTATTGATTGGACTGATCTGGCTCAGGATAGGTACCAGTGGAGGGCTCTTGTGAACATGGTAATGAACCTTCAGATTCCATAAAATGCTTGGAAGTTCTTAGGTAGCTGCACAATTGGCAGCTTCTCAAGAAGGCTCAGCTCCATGAGTGAGGGAGTCATTCTGTGGTAGTTAACTACTGACACTTTTGAACTCTTTAAGCTGTTTGGAATGGAAGAATTAAGTCACTTCCCTTCATCAGCCACTACACTCCTCTTCATGTGCCTTCATTCTATTCCGTGGATAAAAGTGTCTTAAAGCATGTTCAAGTATGTTATAATCACCTAACCTAAATAAAATTATGACAGGTATACTGAAAAATACTTCTCTCAGATGCAACAACTTATGAAATATATGCACAGCATATTAATTCTGACACATTCAGTGTTTTTACCTATATGCCATATAAAAATCCATTCTATTTAGCTATTTTGAAAAATGCAAGGTTGCTGAGCACAAAATACATGTTTAATTTTTCTCTGCAACTTTTACCAAAGCATTTTAATTCTGACTAACAGTTATGCTGGAAACGTGAGGGATAAGTTTTATATAAAGTGTTCATTAATGTTATCTGATTTTAACCTAAACTGAAATATGTATACAAAAATCTAGAAAAACTCCTAGTATGAAATTTCATTAAAATATATTCAATAGTTCTTAAGAGGTTACATGTGAACAGAGAGACAAAGACATGGTTACGATAACAGGCATGTTTTTGCAAATTTTCATTACAAACATACTAGAAATGATTTAATGCTGGAACCATTACACAGAAGAAGGTGGGTCTTTGCTAACAGATTATACTGGTAACAGAATGCTAAAATTTTATATACCATAAATTCAGTATCATATTTTCCATATGCCTGTTGTAAATAGCAATATTCTAGGCTAGTGAGAATTGTGTATGACAACATTCACAAATAAATCTAATATTTCAAACAAATATTGAGTTCAAGTCTATTCTATGGGTACAAATTTGAGGACAGTATTAACAAATGCAATAAGCCTTACCTGTAAAATGCTCCATAAAACCCAACAATATGTGTAAAATTGCAGTCATGTAGAACTTTCAGCTCTCGAATTATCTGTTTCTTAATCGCAGGTTTAACTTCTAAATGGATTAACTGTAACGCAAATGTAAAACAGAAAACCTATCACAATTTCATTTCAATTTGATATTATAGATAGACAAAATGTTGCTACATTAACACACTGAGGACCGGTCGCATGATATCATGCTTTTGGCTTCTAAACATGGTGGACCGGTCCCATGATATCTTTATTTTAGGACACGTTAGGTTGTAACACATTAAACCCTGCTATGGCACCACCCAGGTTGCACGCAGATGCGTAATAAAACTCTCGAATGTTTGCTTACTTGTCAGCAACTTGACCTCGCTGTTTTCTTAACCCACTATAAAGGAAAATGCTTTGCCCTTCTTCAAGCTGTATGTATCAGCCAGCAGTTAGTGGTGGAGTCTGGATCAAGGACATTTTCTTCTCCGATGAGCTAGCTGACCTGCCTTGTGAGACGCGTAGTCATGGTGATTCAGAGAGTGGCAGTGACAGGGGAGAGCAAAGATTTAGTAAAAAATCTAAAAAAATCACAAAAATCTAAACATTGATTTGTAATTGAAATACAAAGCATTTCTGATGAATGTGGCAAAGGCCTGGCCTACAGACCAGATGGTGGCGGCAGAACCAGAGTCAGACATAGACTTAGTGCAACCGGGCCCATCATCTCCCACCCCACGCAGGCCTATGTGGACCCTCCAGGGCAACTCTCGGGTAATATGCGGAAACATACCCTCGTGAAAATTTTGAAGAGTGAACATTCCAAGAGGAAGCATCCTTCTAGGCAATGCAATGTTTGCACAGTCCACAAGAAAAGGAGTATGTCTACATTTGCAAGTTCTGTGTAATGCCACTTCACAAAGGGGAATGTTTCCAGAAATATCACACCCTCAAGCACTTCTAGGAGCATTGGTAAGTATTCTCCAAAAATTTTAGTTCATAAAATTAATTAGATTTTATATTAATTTTTAAAGCGAACAGTGCACAAGTTAGGATAGTAAGTTTAATAATGGCGGCCCCAAGGTGATTTAAATCGCCAGTCCTTAATGTGTTAATAGACACATCTGTGATCTAATGAACATGGAAGGTGAAGGTGATAATTCATTTACCTTGCAACAGCACACCATTGGACTGGCAAGATAGCTATCACATGACTGGTTTTCTATGGGATTTGCACCGCAACCATTGCCATGCAACAACTCAGTAAACAAACCTGAACAACAGAGAGACTGTTTTCTGTGTGGTCCGTGCCGCAGCTATATACCGAGATTCTCAAGAATAACCAAGGCAGTGAGTGACAGAGTTCTGAGATCTGAGTTCTCAGTAGGAGAGAGCTATGGAAAGTTCGTCGACTTGTGACGATTTAAAGTGTGATTGGAAGGCTTCATTCGTGTGTAATACTTGTAGTGTGTGATTCAGTGAGACTGTTATAGTTCCTGTGTTTTAGTTGTGGTACCAGGAGAGGGCTAATATTTGTATAAATTAGCAATAGCACTGTATTTGAACGTGATTAAGAGAACTTGTAACCAAGGTGCAAATCCAATCATGCTAACTAGAACCTGTCATTTTCTTCATGTGTGCCGCCCTACACGTGACAGTATATTTTGATTTACAAGTGTTCTGTATTGTCATTTGAGTAAATTTTGTATTTGCTTATGATGACTGGACAAGTTTTGTAACTAGAATGAAAAATTCTCAAAATACAATTCATCACTTGTGTGTCACCCTTGATTTCTAAGTGCCATGTGAGACAAAATGTTCTCATACATCACTCTTCAATGTCATATGCCATACCTCCATTAGAGGACTTAAGGAAATCTTAAACAAGCGTGTGTGGACACACACTACACAAGAAGTAAAGTAACCATCTGGTGTGAAATGTACATGTCTGAAGCAAGAAGGCCTACTTTTAAAGAGAACAACCTGACTGTTTTGTGTTAATTATGAAATATTCTGAGTAATAAGGTGGGGATAATAAATGCATAGTTTCAGCAAGACATAATCATGGCACATATGGCAAGACAAATCACAAATATTTTGAGTACGTTTCCATGATATACGGCTGGCACCATTCCCAACGTTATCCTTTCGGATTACTTGCAGAACTAGGCGTTCAAAGATTCTCTTCACACAACCGAAGAGCTAAAAAAACCTTAATTACAGAAGTGGTAAGAAAAACTAATTGTGGTCTCCTTCATTTAATGATTAACACTCCAGAGAAAAGTTATAATGATGTAAAGCAAAGCACAGTAGACCACTGTAGGTCACGGTGCAAGGGCTAAGAAGGCCTGCCCCTTATAAATTCATGATGTAAAGCATGACGGAGGGCACTTTCACGCTTTTCTCAAAAAATAATCTGAGAACAATGAATGCAGTAATGCAACTTGTTTTTTTAAGTGTGTCCAATTTAGCAGTCATTTGGCTAAGGCATGGCACTGAAAAGTACGCCATACCGCTGGTCCACTCTGTACATATACAATCACAAAGATGGTGCTCCTCCACTTACTTCAGTTTCAGTTTCTCACACACAACAGCAGAAGCAGCAGCAACAGAAAAAAACAACAACACCGCCACCACCACCGCTGCCGCCACCACCACCACCACCACCACCTCTGGTCAAGTGCTCTCTGAAGCTCCATAAATTAATTCAATTAGGTCGTAGTTACTATAGGATTCTGACGATGGTGTATAACACACTGATATATNCTAGCTCTTTCTAACGGACCCAACAGAATAGGTGTTTTCCTTCACCTGAGGACGGAAACAGATCCAGTTTCCAAAACGTCGTGTTTTTATTAATTATCTTAAAAACCAGGACGATGGATAAAGTCCGAAAACCCAATATATCAGTCAATTAGGTCAGTTTATATGGCCTCTGAGCATTTATACCAAACCCTTTAACCTTTAAATGACTAAAGACACCGTATGTCGTCGCAGATAGTAAAGGCAGCGGTACGAATGACGCCATGTGGTGTCGCAAAGTCCGCGCGTGCGGACGTTATTTGAAATACATTTTTAAGGTAGAAAATAATGTCCTACTTATATAATTTTTGGCCACCATCTGCATGGAGTGTCTGTCTTCCCACCTGCGTCATCTGCCGGAATGTTGCCTTCGTGTGGAATTCTAAAAAAATCCGGAAATGCAGAGTCCGATTTCGCACTTCACG